CCCTCTGCCGGGCACGGAGCCCCGTGCACCGCCCGGCCGGTCCCCGCTGCCCCTCGCGCCGCGGAGCCCTGCTGCCACCCCCTGCTCCCTCCTCCCCGTGCATCCTGCCCCCAGCCCCTCCAAAGGGGAGAAGCAAGGTGCGGGAGAGCCCTTGTCTGCAGCCGCCTCCATCGCGGGTCTACCCCAGATGCTGGCTGGGGGGTGCTGGTGCCAAGCTGTGAGCTCTGGGGGTTAGGGGGGTGGCAGCTCCCCGGGAGATTGCTGGGCTCAGAGGCACCTTGGCCGGGGCAGTAAATGTGCCCCCTCGCGTGCAGATGGACCCTGGACAGGCCCCGTCGCTTCGTCGCTGGATTTCCCAGTGCAGCGACCCCGAGGGCCCCAGGCTGCGCTGCTGGGGCACGCAAAGAAGAACAGCTATGTGCCCAGGCTCTGCCATGTGCGTGGAGGTGCATGGCATGTGTATGTGTCACGACAGGTACCACCCCCAGAACACGCTGGCTAACATGCCCTGGTGAGCGTACAGGAGCCGGGAGGGGCTCCGAAGGTACGAACACGTGCACGAGGGAAGGCGTGAACATGCCTGTTAAACACATGGCAGGTCTGACAGACATAAGTGCCCACGTGTGCCCCGGTGAGCCCATGTTGCCAGGCGGCACAGACATCACGCAAACATGCCCGGAGTTTGCCCACAAACTGAATGCATGGTCATACCCCGACACGCAACCCGGAGCAGACACGTGACCAGCTCAGAGCCCATTTATTGAGGGGTCTGGGGTGGCAGGTACATGGCAGGGAGCACATTTGGCTGGGAGGGAACATCAGCGCGGCCTGGGCCTCCAGCTCAGCTGGGGGGACCCATCCCAGCCCTAGTGCCATGCAGGGCATGTGCTGCACAGCCCCAGCTGGCACCTAGACCCATTGCCCCTGCCCTGGCCTCAGTGGCATGAGGGTGATAGCCCTTGGGGAGCAGGATCTGCCCCCCAGCTGTGGCTTCTGGCACCTCCAAGCCCTTGGTGATGCTCACAGCAGGGACACAGCAGAGCTGGCTCCCTACAAGGGGCCTGGTGTTTGGGCTCCAGGGTCCATCCAGCCCGTGGCTTCTAGGCCAGGTACAGGGGCATACAAGGGGCGAGGGACCCCTTCCTGCTGCACCCCGGGTCCCAGCCCCAGGGATGCGGTGCTCAGCTCATCAAGGCCTCTGCTCCCACCTTACTACCTCTTATGGGCCACGGGGACCCCCAGCCCCCTCCCCACGGTGCTATTATACAGTGCTAAGCTGGTGACCCCTCCCAGCCGCTCCTCGGGCAGGGAAGCCTCCCTATCCCCGTGCCGCACTCCGGGGAAGCGTCAGTGGCGGCGCCGGGCCAAGAACCCAGGCGTCCGGGCTCCCAGGCCCGAGCGGGGCCGCGTCAGGCGAAGACGGCGGAGTTCTGCCAGTAGGAGTAGATGAGGAAGCCGGTGAAGGTGCTGTCCGTCTTGACGCTGGAGTAGAAGCCGATGTAGTCGCCCACGCCCACCTGCACCCACACCTCGTCCTCGGGCTCCAGGCGCACCAGGGAGCCCCCAGACAGCGACGTGGGCTTGGGCCAGTTCCCGTAGAACTGGAAGAAGGAGGCCACGGAGCGCCCGTTCTTGACCAGGTCGAACTGCAGGCTGGTGCGATAGACGGTGGCGTGCACGGCGAAGTAGTACAGCCCAGGCACCTCGCACGTGAACTTGCCCGTGGCCGGGTCGTAGTGGCCCTGCTCGTTGAGCAGCACCTCGTCGAAGCGCACCGGCTGGTCAGCCGCGGGCGGGCTACGCGCCTCCGACAGCTTGGCACTGAAGGCCGAGCGGGGTGCCACCGCACACTCCCCTGGAGCCCCCTTCTCGCCTGGGAGCCCGTTCATGCCGGAGTTGCCCATGTCCCCGCGGGGGCCGGGGACGCCTGCAGGGAGGATGGAGGGGAGAACATCACCAGCTGGGATGCCCCCAACCCCACCACACCCCATCACCCACCCTCTGTAAACCCTACCCCAGCTTGCCACCCTGTGTGCCCAGGGATGTGATACGGGCATGCAGGCAGCAGCACAGACCTCCTAAGAACATAGGAATTGCCATTTACTGGGTCAGACCCCATAGGTCTGTCTTCCCAGTCTCTTGTCACCCCACGGCATGAGAGAATTAGCAGGGGCTGACCAGGGTTTTGCAGCTTCCAGCATTTAAGGTCCAGGATGCTCCCATTCAAAAGCTCAGTACATTCTCCCGTTCAGAAGCTCCCTCACTCCCCAGCTCGGTAGCTACTGATGCCCCTTTCCTCCTCCTCCTTTTTTCTTTTTTTTTTTGGCTTAAGGCTGAATTAGTTCCAGATTCCTAATCGACTGAGCTGAGCTCAATCGTTCAAGTCTGGCTCTACCTCCGGGCGAGTCTCCTCCCTCCCGGAACCATCGCTGTGGGACTTCGGATACTCCCCAAATCTGGCATCCTATGTGCAGGCCCCAAGCCCGAGGGCCTTGGAGTTCAGATGCCCCATAGTCTCGCTTACCCCGAGCCAAAAGGCCGAAGGAACAAAGTAGAGGGAGAGCCTAAGAGCAATCCCCCAGCACCATAAATTGTGTAGCCGAGGCAGCGTGGCACACTGAGGCAGTGTGCTGAGATCCTGGTGCTTTGCCCCAGTCGTGTCTGCTGGCATACGAAGGGTTAACCCACCTAGCATGCACTAAGGGTGCCAGAGACCCCCCGCCCCCCCACCACAGCCCCTTCCTGGGTAATGGCTCAGCATCTCCTTACCTGGGGGGCCCATCTCCCCCTTGTCTCCTTGCCCCCCAGCTGCTCCGTCCCGACCATCACGACCGTCCCTGCCAGGCAGACCCTGGCTCCCGTGCACCCCCGGTGTCCCTGGCAGCCCCGGCTGGCCAGAGCACAGGCTGGGGATCTTGTTGTCCTCGATCTGGAGGGCGCCAGCGATCATCCCGAGGAGGACGAGGAGCTGCTTCATCGCCAGGCTGTGCTGTGCCGGGGCTGGAAGCAGAGCGAGCTGTGAGGTCTGGAGCAGAGGGAGAGGCAGTGCCCGGGCCCAGGGCCCCTGGCACAATGTGGCATGGTTCCTGCAGCAGGGGGGTCTCTGCTTTGGGGCCCAACTGGGCTGGGGGGTGCCCAACTGCCTGTGGGAGACATGGGCCTGGCTGGCCACGGGGCTATTTGGCTTGGCTGATGGCGGTGGGGCAGAGCCGAGGTGGGCACTGTGGGGTGCTGCGGGGCTGGAGCAGCTCTCTCCACCCTCCCAGGATCCTGCTGCCTGGGAGGAGACCCAGATTATGGCTGCTGGGGGTGGGGCTGGAGAACCCCACGGCCCCCCATCCCTGCCCCTCCTCCTCCTCCCTTCTCCCTGCTGCCCCGGCAGCCAGAAGGGGGATGCTGGGAGGGTGGGGGCTAGTCCAGCCCAGTGTCCGGGGAGGCCAGACTGGTCCAGCCCAGGCCCTGTTTGGCCCCAGCTGCCCGGCCAGCCCAGCATCCGCAGGAGCTGTCGCGAGGCGTCTGGAATGTGGTGACGCCTTCCAGCAGCTCCAGCACACTCCCGCCGCCTGCGCTCGCT